ATTATAAAGATAAAATAATTAAAATAAATACACAAAATAAAAACATAATTTCTAAAATAATTTATTGTCAACCGTTCATTTAGTTCTAGTATTATAAAAAACAAATCAGCTGCTATAATAACGCCTCTAATCTCTAATCAACTACAGGTCTGTCTACAGACAGTAAAATATTTTCTACTATATAAAAATTTATGTTTGTTCGTACTTTCTACGATGCTATACAGTTCATCAGATTGCGGTAAAACTTGGTCAACTTATTGGTTGCACTTGTGCGAAGGTTATACGCATGGTACAATTAACTGACATTAGATGGCGTGCGTATTATACTAACTATTTATTTGAAAGTTAAATAAAATCATTCATTATTTCAATGATTGTATTATCATTCCTAATTATACAATATAACTGTTCCACATTTTTAAAGATATGTCCACAATTACTTCTTTTGCGGCAGCATTGCGCCGGGTACGAGCTAGCAAAATAATATAAAAAATATAAACTTCGAATTACATATTTATCAGTTATTTACAACGACATTTTCGAAATTAAAATAACAATATTAAAAAAATAACAGAAATTATCATACAGTCCTACTTTCTGTGGTATCGTCCCAAGAATGCTGGCTACGTGTCCTCTCTGAATGGCTATACTTAGCCTTCAAGCGAGGAAACAACAAACTAAACAACTTCTTATTACAAGCAGCGAAAATTAGTCCCATATACAGTTTTTAGGAACTACACCGCACGTGCACCCTACGGACCAATAGTCTCTACAGCAAATTGCACAAATATGTACTCATCTTCAAGATATTCTGGGCTTTTTACTTAGTTCAGTTGCCTCTAATGCCACCTCTGCTTTAGACAAGGTACCCTGAGATGGGATGCTGTCAGTGTTCGCAAGTAGTATCCCACACTAAAACTTCATCTCTCTCTCTCTATCTTTCTCTCTAAAGCAACCAAACCCATACCGTCAGTTCTCCTGGTATCGTCTCTAAATATTCTACAAAGATCTTAAACTGACGAAACATTTATAGAGATATGAGCTCTTCGGATGAAATTGTCCAAGAATTAAGGACAACATTATATTAAAGAATACCATAACATTATTACACGGTTATTTAACCGTGTATTAAGGATGGTTTCGACCAAATACTATGTTAAACCAGAGTAACTAACCCTCGAATAATTTTACTCTTTGGTCTTACACCAAGATAACTTCATTTTGCTTTTTGTAACACAAACGTAGAGAAGCCAATACTGGCTATTGTTATTCCAGAGTTGGTAGTTGGTGGTAGAGTTTATTCATTCAAACAAGTAAACCAACTTAAACCAGAACACAACTGTTGTAAAGCGCAATCCAAGATTTGAGGTCCACATAATTTTCCTTTACCACAGACTACTATGGTTTGACGTAACTTTTGAAGTTTAGTAAGTGTAAATAATGCCGCCCAATGGCAGCCCCTCCTTAGTTGCTGACTTCTCCCCCCGTTTTCATTCTCAGATAAGGCGCACCAGAAACAAGCCACACTGCCCTTCGCGTTCTCTAACTCCACCGACTCCACTCCTATGGACTCCCCGAGCCCGATATGTGAATGGAGCCAGGGAAAACTATCACTTGGAAGCATCAAGTGGTGCAGCCTCACCAAAGTCGCGAGATAGTCGAGTGGCGCATTGCCAATCGCCATACCAACACTCCTCTTCCCTTACGACTCCTCCTCGACTACAGCGGTACAGGGAGAGGAATCTCCTCTAGCCGCAGCCCACTGAAACACATACAACGTGTCTCGACATCATCAGGCGACCTTTCGACACTTGGCTATGGCCCTTGAGTTTGGTGAAAAATGAGGAAAGAAGAAATAAAAAAACACATTCGAAATAATAATCTAATACTTTTATACTTACTGGTACTGGTACTGCCAGAAAATATTATCTAATATGATCATTTTGTTTCGGACGCCAATTCACAATATCTATGCTTTTAAGCCATAATTTTAATCTAGGTTCACTTGGAAACCTGTTAATTAATAAATATTTGATAATCGTCTGATGTTGGCGACTTTGTTTGTTAACAAATATGGGTAGAAAAGAACATCGATAAGTATTATAGACAAGGAACTCGACAACCCTATTGAATTTTATTGTTTATCAAAACTCAGTAATATACAGCCAAAGATGTTGGTATATATGATATTAAGATTAGTAACAAATTTTTAAGTACTTATATTATCAAATGTTGTTTCATATTTGCTGCAAATTCACTTACTTGTGAAATGTTATACCACTTCCCTTTTGGTAACGAGTTTTACAGATTACGCACACTCTCATTATTAATAAAAATAATTCTTATTATGTAACTAATATTATACACAATCAAACAACATAAAATACTTTCATTTTTTAGATTACAAGTTCAAAATACAGATTTATTAAATATGACAACAGACTGGCATATTATGTCAATTTTATTTTTCAAGACATCCTTTAGCGGCGTTTCAAATTGGAACAGTCATTTTCTATGGTATATCCAGTCCAGCGTACTTGTATATATAGAGTTCAGTGGATGTTCCCCTAAATTTTTTGAAATCGAATGTTTATACTCATTCTGCTGACGGTGTTCATGTGGTTGTGATGGTGTAAATGCGGCAGGCGATTTAACACATTTGAAAATACTTAGGATTTTATTTTTAGGGAGCCAGTAAAATTTGTCTGTGATGTATTCCATCTTAGTCCTCGGAGGTGATGACGCATCCTTAGCCTTTTTTGCTTGAAGTTGACTGCAAATGTCCATGGACTCCAGTAGCCACTTACCATCAGGCGAACTGTAAATTCGATTCACTTCATTTTAAAAAAAAAAACAGTTATATTGTGACTAACATAAGAAAGGGCTTGAAATTTTATTTAATAGGCCTTTTGACGGCGGAAACCAAAATATTCCAAATGTGAAACCAAAACTCATCACATCACTTCCGTTAAAAAAAAAAACAAAGCTAAAAGCTATATTTTTATTTTTCCTTTCCTCATAATTCCAGTGTATTTAACTGTCTTGTTATCCAATGGGTAACTGTAACGAATATACTTCATGTTTAGGAGGTACAGTGAAACCCAATTCTCTGGTTTTCTTGTTGGAGGTTAGACCTCTACTATTAAGAGTATTCCGGGGATTAGTTACCACCTGGTAGACTTGATGTAAGACGCAAGTCGTGTTCCGGTATGACATTAGGTGAAATCCATTCTTGGGAGGATGGGTGTGGCCGTTTTTTGGTGTCACGTGCCTGATTATGGAAGCTAGCGGGATCCGAAACATGGTTATATCGCTAGCTGATAGTTGGGGGCCCAGTGAGCCAGCCAATCAAGAAAGGGTACCACGCCATCTTACGAAACATCCTGGAATGACCATCATGCCCGTCGCAGTAGAGCACTTTGGTCTTTCGCCAAAGCGGTCGAAACAAACTTCTGCCGGTCTACACTGCCTCCGCTGGTAAAACTAGATGACTCACTGGCGCATGAAACTAAAGAGAAAGCGGAGATCTTTTTTGTTTGCGATTCGCGTCTAAACCAGTAATTCCCAACCAGTGGTTCCGCAAAAGATTTAAATATTTTACTGACCTAACCATTTTAAATAAAACCTTTATTATTTTCTTCGGGGCAGTGCAACAGCTTGCGTCGCGTCGCAATCAAAATCGAAATTTGTCAACAAATTTATGATTTCTTTTACAATAAATACACAAATTATAATACTGAGAATGATTGATTCTTTTCAGTTTATTATTTATGTTAAAAGTTGTGATTAAAATTTTTCTTAAATTTTCACCATGCTAACAACAAAGGAATTAAAATGGTCCCTGGTCAAAAAAAAGCTTGGGAAACTCTGGTCTAAACGATAGCAACAGCGTACCTCACTGCGGTCTCTCTATGTCAGAGGTCCTTATAACCAACAAGACCCTTAAAACCTTGCTAAGTCTAGAAGTGAACAAAGCTAGTGGACTGGAATGTATACCAGCTGTAGTTCTAAAAGCCCGTGAGCCTGGGTTGTCTCCTGTGTCGACACGCTTGGTTCGCCTCTCATTTAGAAGACTAGAATAGTGCCCAAATCTTGCTAAATAATTTGTGATCATAATTTAACATTACTCATATTTTCCTGAAGTCAGCTTATATCTTAAAATATTTGCCTTCCATTATTTCCAGTTTATTATATGCTGGAAATTATTTATTACTATCTTTTTCCATATATTAGTATGCAAATAGTACACTGTGTACTACTTTTTAAGCAATTTGCGCGCACGAAGAAGTGTGAGATGCTGTATAGCTAAATTTTATATAAGAAGATTGCAGAAAGCTAAATTGTTTATATTAGTACATAAATGAAAGAAAGTAAAACATTTTACGTTCTAATTGCCAATGTCAAACGCATAGTAGTCTGTGGTAAAATAATCGCAGAGTAATAATTTTCGCCCAAGAATTTTAAAATGTTGCCAACAAATAATTACTGGCAGACCGACTGAATGAGCTGTGAATTTTGTAAGATTTCAACTGTTCCTTGTTCAATAGTCTGTAGTGTGTATCAAGACAAAAAATTATTTTATTATTTGTGTATTATATGCAGTTGAAAGTGAAATACAGCTTGCTTATTATAACGAACTTAAATATTTTTCATATTTTGACCCAAAATCGACCACTAGTAAGAATAATTATTTGTCTGTAGAATCATGTCGACTTATACATGCTTTTTATCATCTATTTTCTTTTTAGTAAGCTAATGCTTCGTTTCTATTGTCGTATACAAATATCTAATAAAAATAAAGCAAAATCAATGAAACTAATCTTCCACATAAATATACACATTATATGAATAATCGTAACTTATAAATGCCAGGGTATATGCCCTAACAAAGGCACTCACATATTTTAATCTCTCCATGACTAATGTAACATTTACACACCTCTTTTTTTGAACACCTCTACATGAAAAAACTTTATCAATGGAGGAACTTGACCTATCAGCTGCGAAGGAGGAAGCAAAGAGGACTGGAACACCAAACTCCCTCAATACAACAAAGAAGCGGAAGACGAGCTTCCAATCCCTGGTCCATCTCGGGAGGGTCAAGAATCTTCAGAGGAAACAATCATCACCCCCAAAGATCCGTGGGACCGGATTGTTGAGAAAGAGGCTGAACAGGACGATGGAAACGATTCTTATTCAATAGACCAGGTGACTGTGGACTCAGAAGGGTTTGAAGATGAAGAAGAAAGTGAGTACTATACAATAGTGGAAGGAGAAGTGGCAAGAGACATGGAGACCGGTCAATTAAAGAAGTCCGTCAAGCAAATGCTGGCAAAGGCGGAAAAAGGTCCTGATCTAACACTCTTAGGTGATCAGAAGATTCAAGTTAACCTCTCATATTTAGGGACTCACAAGACTATTGCTCGGACCCGCGATCTCATCGAAAACATAATACAGCATTACACCTCCGTACCTGGACAGGTCACAACCTCGCAAGCTTCTGATGAAGGAATCTTCATTTTCAACGTTTCCGCACCATCCCATCCTACCCCTTCCCCATCCCCCCCCCATCACAGGAACCTCTCCAAGACCAACCGCCATTAGATCCCCCCAACATAAGAACTGATCAACCCAAAATCATTACCGATCTCATCTCTGGAATTAGACTGACTCCTAAATTTCCTGGTTTACCGATTAGAACGATTAAATATGGAGCTAATTGATTAACACAAGAGAAGTTGATCCAGCTGATGACAAGGAATCCAGCAGCAGACGACAAGGAATTATTTGAAATGGCATTGGCCTTACTAGGATCCAGAAGGACGATTCTCAATCTCTATATTTCCCCCTACTAAGAGACAACATAAATAATCCCAATTACTTGAAAATTTATGAACAAGATCAAAGTTAGGATTGGTAGTTTCCTTTCCCATGAAGAGACCCTCGAGAGGCGCCTGGCGAAAAAACGTTCTCGAGTCCTACCGGCGAAGTTAGAACAGCAAGGGGTTAAGTTGGTAAATATAAACCGTTCTCGTCTCCATGAAGGGGGCATGCGTAGGCCTTTCCACGTGTAACAAAGGCTCGACAGACGGTGCCAGGGACAATCAAAACAGCCTGTCATGAAATCCAACAAGTGGTGTTTATTTGCCTGGTTTAAGTAATAGGGGACCAGCCCTACTTGTTTGCTATTTAAATAACATACTACACTCAGCGTCACAAAAATCAGAAAAATGACTGTAATGGCTAGAAACTAATTATATTTATATAAATATTGGTATGTTTGAAATGGGTATTTGAATAGCTTTACATTATTAATAAAAAAATCATGAAATCATTAAAACATTTATCATTATAGAGCATCAAAAATAAACACTGTCAAATGCTCGTTAGTAAGGACGCTAGTTACACCACCTAAAAAGGGTATAAAAGGGTCGATCTGGATGAAATATGGGCATCATTACGCCTGTGGTATCGCTTCCGAGCGGTCCCATCCAGGCAGTCCGCGCTTTCGTCCTCGTACGGTAGTGCTCTCCCGCTCTCGCGCCTCCGCTGTCCCGCTCGCGCTGTACAGCGCCGACGCAGTGCTCACTCCGCCGGTGGCATCGTTCTCGGACGGTCGCCTCCAGGTGGTCGCGCTCTCGTACCAGTACGGTAGCGCTGTCCTGCTCACGCTTGGCAGCGTCGAGGCTGGTGAGTCACTTCACGCTTACAGCTCTTGCCCCCCTGTCTTCGGGCAGGGAGGTTTGACTGACCTCCGCTTTTCATTTTCATTTTCATTTTCATTTGTCATTTTTCATTTTTTTTGTATTGTCTCTTTCATTTTCTTGTTGTTCTTGTATTATTATTACGTGTATATTGTCTCGTATTACGTCTCGCGTTCAAGTCCCTGTTCTACCGAGAACAGGGACCCGTTCTCATCGTTACCGAGCTTAGCTCTTCTAGCTTTACTGCCCCAGAATGGCCTTACATAGCCTGTCTGAGTCCCTCGCCGCCATCATAAACCAATATGGTTTAAATATCAATGAGACGGTCCTCGCCGCGATCGCCACCATCGCCGCCCAGGCCCCCCTCCCTGCCCCTCAGGCACACCATCCTCCGCCAGTAATCGCGTCATACCTTGAAACGAGGAACTCTTTTGCCCCCCTTGAGTCTGCCCCTTAGAAATGGAGTACGCATGCTCCGAGTCCTCGGCGCCGGCCTCCCGGAAGAGGCCCGCCACCACTTCAGGCTCCGGTTCATCGGAGTCCTATCACTCCGACGGAACCGGGGAGTCAACATTTACCACCGTCAATTCGTCAAGCGCAACCGTAAGCGCGCCGCGTTAAAACGTACCCCCCCCTATCTCAGCGGCCCCTGCCGCTCCTACAACCTCCGCAGCCCCCGCCGCTGCCGCCGTCCCACTCATGTCACTAGACATCCCAACTCCAACAAAACCATCCTCTCGATGTGCTCCAGTCCTTGCTAAGAAGCAAGTCCCGCCCCCTGTCTTCCTAAGAGACAAGGCAAAATCACCCAACTATCCAAAACCAGCTACGACGCAGGAATAAAGTACGACCACGCCGTCAACCTCGGGGAGGCTATCAAAATCATCACCAGCTCGATCGAGGATTTCCGTCAACTCACCAGGCTATTCACAGCCGAAAGAGTCTCATATCACACATACGCTCTCCCGGAAGAGCGTAAAGTCAGGGCCGTCATCCGAGGCGTCCCTTTCGAATTCTCCAGCGAGGAGATACTTGAGGACCATAAGTCCCAAGGCTTCCCCGTGGAAGCCGTGCACAATAGAATGGGCAAGAGATTCAACCTTGCCCTAGTCATACTATACAACGTGCCGGAGGCAAAAGCCATCTTCCGGCAGGTACGCACAGTGGCCTGTCGAGAGTGAAGGTTGAGCCCCCACATAGGCCCGGATTCCCGGCGCAGTGCCACCGCTGCCAACTATATGGTCATGCGGCGGCCAACTGCACCGCCCACCCAGGTGCGTTAAGTGCCTCGAACCCCACAACACTAAAGAGTGCCCCCGGCCCAAAGACGCCGAATCCCAGCCCGCATGTGTCCTGTGCAAACAGACAGGCCACCCGGCTAACTACAAGGGCTGCCCCCGCGCGCCTCAACCTCGCCCCAGTAGGCAAGCTCCACCGCCGGTCAATGACCGCTCATTCCCGGCCCTCTACCAACGGCCCCGTCAGGGGTCCTTCTCAGCCCATCCAGGGCTTCTCTCGGCCTTCTCAGGGTCCCCCTAGGCCCCCTCAGGGCATAATTCGGCCCCCTCCGGGCTTCTCCAAGCCCATGCAGCCTCCAGTCTTCCCCTGGGGCCCCAAAAAGGCGGACCCACCGCGGACAACCTCCTACTCCCATGAGGCAGAGCCCACACCTGATGATTACAACACACTTTATTCCGCTATCAGGAATATAGACATCAGGGAAATACGGTAGTAGCACGCAAACTGCGCGCTGCGAAGTCCCCCCAAGAACGGCTCCTCGTTCTTTCAGAACATAATAATCTCCTGTTAGCGTTGTAAGTTAAGTTAACTTAATTAAATTAACTTCAATGTCAGTGCAAATTACTCTACCAAAATCTCACGGTCGTATCAAACCTAAGGGTTTATCGCTTGTATCATTCAATATTCGCGGCTTGCGAAATAACCTCCCAGAGCTTAAGCTCTTTCTTCGGAATCTCGAAGTCGACTTCCTCCTCCTACAGGAAACCAATCTCAAAACCAAGGACGCTAAAGGCCTTTCTATTAAAATTTCTCTTCTTCGTAACGACAGACCCGACCGCCGAGGCGGCGGAACGGCCATCTATTACAAGAAGACACTTCATTGCTCGCCCATTTCTACTCCGCAGCTTACCAACATGGAAGCCACGGTATGCAGGCTAGCTATGACTGGACATCAGTCCATCCTCATAGCCTCCTGTTACATCCCTTCAGGAACCCATCCCCTCAAAAAAGATTTTGAGGGCCATTTTATCTTTAGGCAATTCAGTCATTATGTTTGGAGATTTTAACTCCAAGCATACTGAATGTACATGCCGTACTACGTCCCCTAGTGGCAAGATACTGCTCGATATCACGCAGTCTCTTGATATTACCGTCCATAGTCCCCTCGGTGTTACTCAC